TGTAATAAAATAATATATGCAATATAATAAATAGACACAGAAGTAATAATAAGTTAGTAGTATGGAGTGGCTACTGCCCATAACAATAAGTCAATAGTTCAAAATTTTATGTGTACAAATTTGACAATATATTTCAGAACTTTAATAAATCAATGATATAATATAAAACATTAACCAGTATGACGTGGTGTAGTGGTTGGGGATGAATTTCAGTTCTGTATTCAACATGGTACATCTTGGGTTGAAATGCTCTATGAGCCTTTGCGGGCCTCGAAAATGTGTACTGCCGTGACAAAACCACCATATGGTACCCTTTTTAAAGAAATAAAGAAAATATATAATATAAAACATTGGGTCTACAACTAAATGAGGCATTTGAATTTTTTTTTTTTTTTTAACAAACGATATTATCATCTACACTAAAACATTAACCAGCATGATGTGGTTTAGTGGTTGATGATGAATTTTAGTTTTGTATTCAACATGGTACATCTTGGGTTCGATTTCTAGCGCTCTGTTAATTAATCATATAATGGTCGCCAAAAGGAAGGAGGCTGAAATGCTTCTATGAGTCTTTGCTGGCCTCGAAAAAGTAGGATGTCATGACAAAACCACAATTTGGTATCCTTTTAAAGAAATGAAGAAAATATATAATATTAAACATTGGGTCTACAAATAAATGAGGCATTTGAATCCATTTTTTTATTTTTTTTATTTTTAACAAATGATATTATCTACATTAAATAAGAGAGGATAAGCTTAGCTTCAAAATGGATTAACAATAAAGTGATTTAAATTCGTCTTTGACAAGAATCGAATCTAAGACGTCTTACTTACAAATGAAGAGAAATACCACTAGACTGTAATACTAATTGTTCATTTGAATCCTTTAAAATTCTAAAACTTAATATGGACGCATGGAAAAAGAAGGATATGTAAAAATGGTGGACATGGCCTATGTTTGACCCAATCAATTATGAAACTCTAAAATAGTCATTACGTATTTATTTATTAAAGTGTACGAGTGTTAGATTGCATTAATGTAAATTTCAAAATGACCAATGAATGAGGTCGGACACTACAACACTTCCAAAATCATGCATCTTGTTTCAACAGATGGTGCGAGCCAAATCATGTGTAGGTTCTCAAAAAGCACGTACAAGTTACGTGTAAACATCAAATCGACTAATTCAAACCAAATTAAGCAGCTTTATTTAATTAAAAATTAAAAGATAAGGAGCGTCGAAAGAAAAAAATGACGTACGAAAATGCTTACTTTTCTTAATTAGGGACGAAACTGATTCATGATCGCTGGAAGACAAGTGGTGATTTTGCTTCCTCTAAATTATCATGATTTACTAGTGAAAGTTGTTTGTGTACCTAAAGTTGAATAAATCAAATTTTGCATGATAGCGTGAACTTTTGAGCAAATTGGTTAGTTTACCATTTGGTTTTTGGTAGATGGACCCACCATGTTTTGCAATAGGCAACAGCAGTTAGTAAAAGGAAAACCCTGGATTTGAGATTGAATTATTGAACTCTTTGCAAATAGTTACATTATAAATGGAAATCAAACTAATCATTTGTGAGATTCGAACTCAACAAATTTTATTTATAAGTGGAGAGAAATCGTGTCGGGTAAATTGAATTTAATAATACATATGTTGGCATCCCAACGCTTTCCTTCTCCTTTCACTGCCTATTCGAAAAAAAATCCAGTACTTCTTGATCGTGAATATCTGAATAGGACAAACCACTCCGTAGATATCTTTTCTTCGGAACAAAACAATTAGAATTAGTAGGTCAACTGAAATGTGTATTATCCATATAGGAGATCTTTGAATTGTTACAAGCGATATTTATATTCTATACTATAATAAGGGATGACAAAAAGTTTGCACCCGAAAACATAGTAGATTAAAGAAGGAAATTCTATCCACAAAATTAAATAGTATTATTTGATGCCGTTGCAAATCCAAAGCCGAAAAAGAAAGCCTGAATTAGCAAAATGGACAAAGACCTTCTCATTGGTAAATAAAAAATAAAAATCATTGTCATTGATTCAATGAGTTATATGGAGCTTTGAAAATGAAAGCATATGGAGGATTCAATATTATTTTTTCCTAAATTACTAAAACTTTGCTGTATTCTTGGAATAATTTTGCCACATATGGTGTGCCAGAACAAGAGGACATGCAAGTTATCTTTCTTTAATACTAAAAAGATAGATACTAAAAACACCTAAAACCAAGCCCTTAATTAAGCGTTAACTTTTTCTTTTTACAAACAATAACGTTAGTGAGTTAAATTGTTAAATCAAATGTTAAGAGAGAGAAATTAGTAAGAATCAAACTCGTACTAAGATGTGTTTACTTTCCGCAATTGCGGTAAGACTCCATATACTAATTAAGGCTTAATCAACTTGGAATTTGTTTGTTAATTATAAGACAACACCAACTAAGTTGGAGCAAGGTATGGATTCAGTAATGCTTACATCAGAATGTGGATGACAGTTGGGCATGTGGCTATTGACTCATGCGAATTGACTATTACGTCAACTTTATTGACAACTTCCTCAGTTGTTGTGATTAATACTTAATTAGCTTATAGCCAATTTGGTTTTGAATGGAAATTAATTATCAGTAATCCCAAAGAGATTTAAAAAACTAGTGGGCTAAGGGTTGTATGATGTCCCTTAATACTACAGTTTAGTAATAGTCTTTTTTTACTGTAAGTGAAAAATTTATTACAGTTGGTGATTTTGATATCGGTGTCTTATAGCTGACTTATAATTGGTGTTGAGTACAAATTTTAAAAAAACATCAGATTAGAATTTGAACTTGAACTTGAGATTTTCTTTTGTTATAAAATGTATAGATACATTAAAAGCTAGTTGGTGATCAAGTTTATTCTTAATTGCACCATGAGGTTAACTGTATCAATTTATGCCTTTTGAATTTTTACGTGTGATCATTTGCTAAATTGATGACATATCAGGGGTTGGACTCACTTTTAAATTGTGTAGAAACCACACTTGCATTGCTCTTATTCAAAATTATATGAGACTTTCATCTCGTAGAACTCCTCAGTGATAAAAGAAGGAAAATGCTTTCTTTTCTAATTTCTATCCTCGCGTGTCTGAGATCAATTTGTGTGATTGGCTGTTGTTTTAAGAAGATTGAATGAAGAAAGAATGGCCAATTTAGTGAATGCCCATGATGATTAATTTTGGTCCACGTGGTACAAGTGTAGTTACCACGCTCATCAGGTTAATAATTAAGCGATTGTTAAGACAATTAAACAACCAAAATGTATAAATTGGGCTATGAATGGGAGTGATTACTTTGAAAATCACGAGAGATGTTTCAGTGTGACCGGTACACGAGATGGTACACTACTTGTTATTATATAAATGGTGGGATATGCGCGCTAAAAAATTAATAACTTAAAAAAAAAAAATTTCTCACCACTTCTATTAAAACACGTGGTGTACTACTTGTGTCCTCGTCACAATTAAAAATTTCTTGAAAATCCCTCCAAATTTGAAGTTAAAATCTGAATAACACTAAAACATATGATCAAAAGATGCAGTGTATATGACCCTATGGCAGGTTGGGCAGGTTGTTAGTGAGAAAACATTCACCACCCAATGCCATACCAAAAAGGGTAGTAAATGAAGGAAAAGTTGGGCTATGAATGGGAGAGATTTATCACTGTGGTCTGGGAGGTACGATATATGATATTATACAAGTGAACGAAAGTTTATGTTTTTTAAATATCCTTCTACTTGGATAATGATATATGGGTATGAGATGGTGTCTTAGAAAGACGGAAAAAAGCATTAACAAGATAATAAAAGAAGAGAGTGTAGCAGATGCATGGAAAAAATGAAAAACAAAATAATAATAATAATATATTTTGTTTCAGAGGATTGAATAATGAAAAAATAGAAATTGGTAAAAATTGAGGCCTCCTTGGACAGAAGGGCACAGCAGAAGAGGCTTTTGGTGAGCTTTTTCAAGGCAAAATTCTATTTCCTTGTCCTGGTCAACGCTCCCCCACAGGAAACTGGTTGGAATTCATTGAATTCCTAGGTTGCCCCTTTATGTCCGCATCCCCATCCTGAATAAAAACCACATGAACAACAAGTCTAGCTGGTGGGGAGATATAATGGTCCCCAGAAAAGATTTACAATGGTAAATTTACGATAACAGGTGAAAGATTTAGATTAGTCATAGAACGGGCCAGCCGTGATAATTTTTTATTAAATTAGTCATTAATTTTCAATCCAACTTGTCAGTCACGTTGGCCAAACCTAAAACCTTCAACTGGCAAGAGTAAAAATTCAAATTAAAAGAAAGAAGAATGAAAAAATGTTGTGTAAATTGTGGAAAGAAAAGAAAAAGAAAGAAACAGACAAAAGAAGCCCTTCCCCCACCAAAGACCCACAAACAAGACCCAACAACTCATAAAAAAGTGTGTGACTAGAAATTTTATTTTATTTGTTTTTATGTTTTTATAAAAGCAAAAACCACTTAAAAGCCCTGACGGCACGTGCGTGTCACGCTCCAATGAGGAGTGGGTGATGATTTTTTTTTTAATTTTGTTTGATGCAAGGTGGGTGATGACCGATGTCAGCAACTGTTTCTGCTCGTGTGAGACTGTGAGTGTGGTATTATTAAAGTCACCTAACGGTGACAAGAAATTTTTAATTGTGATGGGAACACGTATGGTATATTACATGTTTTTATGTAAATGGTAAAATATTTTAATTTTTAAATTATTAACTTTTTAACATATATATCTCATTATTTATATAAAAATAAATGATGCACCATCTCATTTGACGGTCACACTAAAAAATATTCCCACGGTGACCGCACGGTTGTAGTTTTCAATTCCATCAACAAACTACGCCCGTGTTTCACCACGCGCGCACCATAGTGGCGCGTGCACACCAGGAATCACCTAGATTAACATCTCTCCCACGGTCGTGGTTTTGTCTTCTTTTCCCTTTGGCCCTCAGAGTCAGAGACTGAACCACTCAAAGTGCCCAAAAGAAAATAACAAGTGAAGTGAAACACATCAGACTACCCAGATCGCCGGGTCGGGTAATGGATACCCGCCCAAGCCAGCGGCTTTCTCCTTCTCCGCCCAAAGGCCACCACCAACGGAACACTGCCGTTTTCGTTTCAGCGACCATGGTCACAAGAGGCTACCCAGTTGCATAATTTTGCAGTTCGACCCCTCAAAGTTTTTAGCTTTAGGAACGCGCCCCCAACTCCGTCCTGCTTTTTCCTCACTCGGGTCCTCGGTAATGGCGACTACCAACACCACCCCGCAGGCCGTGGGAGTTGAGGGGGTTGACGCGTCAGCATCGGCGGATGAGGCGGCGGCTAAAGCCGTGCACAAGAGGTACGAAGGGCTTGTGATGGTACGGACGAAGGCGATAAAGGGGAAAGGGGCTTGGTACTGGGCTCACTTGGAGCCTATATTGGTCCACAACACCGACACTGGTCTGCCCAAAGCGGTGAAGCTCCGGTGCTCCTTTTGCAACGCCTTGTTCTCCGCCTCGAACCCGTCGCGCACCGCCTCCGAGCACTTAAAGCGCGGGACTTGCCCCAATTTCAACTCCGTCGCGAAACCCATTTCGTCCCTCTCGCCGTCCTCCACCATCAACTTGCCTCCGTCGCCTGCCCCCGTCCACCATACCAGCCGCAAGCGGAGCTCGTCTTCCGTTTCCGTTTCGGCTTCAACGTCGTACCATGTTCCGCCGCTCGCGATAGTGGACCCGACCCGGTTCTGCGGCGAGCTCACTTACTCTCCGGTGACCGCGACGGCGCATACGGCGATGACGCACCAGCCGCATTTGGTGTTGTCGGGTGGGAAAGAGGACTTGGGAGCTCTGGCGATGCTGGAGGACAGCGTGAAGAAGCTCAAGAGCCCCAAAACTTCACCCGGTCCGACGCTGAGTAAGACGCAGGTGGACGTTGCGCTTGATTTTCTGGCTGATTGGGTGTTTGAGTCTTGTGGGTCGGTGTCGTTTTCGAGCGTCGAGCACCCAAAGTTCAGAGCTTTTCTCAACCAGGTGGGTCTGCGGGCGATTTCCCGGCGGGAGTTCACCGGGTCGAGACTCGACTCCAAGTTTGAGGAAGCGAAGGCCGAGGCCGAGGCCCGAATTCACGACGCCATGTTCTTTCAGATTGCTTCTGATGGGTGGAAGAGCAAGACTTTTGGCGCGTTTGGGGAAGATGGTCTCGTAAATTTGACTGTGAATCTTCCCAATGGGACTAGTGTGTACAGGAAGGCGGTGTTTGTCGGCGGCTCTGTACCTTCGAAGTATGCCGAGGATGTTTTGTGGGAGACAGTGACAAGCATTTGTGGGAATGTTGTGCAGCAGTGTGTAGGAATAGTAGCAGACAAGTTTAAGTCCAAGGCACTGAGGAATTTAGAGAATCAGAATCACTGGATGGTTAATCTTTCTTGTCAGTTTCAGGGTTTCAATAGTTTGATTAAGGATTTCAGTAAGGAACTTCCCTTGTTTAAGGATGTCGCCGAGAATTGTTTTAAGATTGCGAATTTCGTGAATAACAAGTCTCAGGTTAGGAGTAGCTTTCATAAGTATCAGTCCCAGGAGTATGGTCATGCCGGGCTGTTAAGAGTGCCGTTGCGTGAGTTCGAAATGGTTAACTTTGGAGCAGTGCATATATTGTTTGAGGATATTCTGAGCTCAGCCGGGGCACTTCAGTTGGTCCTGCTAGACGAATCTTATAAAGTTGCATCCATGGAGGATCCAATGGCTAGAGAAGTCGCCGAGATGATTGGGAATGTGAGGTTTTGGAATGAATTGCAGGCGGTGCATTCGTTGGTTAAGTTGATCAAGGACATGGCTCAAGAGATTGAGACGGAGAGGCCGCTGGTTGGTAAATGCCTCCCACTTTGGGATGAACTAAGAACAAAAGTGAAGGATTGGTGTGCCAGTTTCCACATTCCAGAAGAACCGGTGGAGAAGGTGATTGAAAGGCGGTTCAGGAAGAATTATCATCCTGCTTGGGCGGCTGCGTTTATACTTGATCCGCTCTATTTAATTAGGGACACTAGTGGGAAGTATCTTCCACCATTCAAGTTGTTGACGCCAGAGCAGGAGAAGGATGTGGACAAGCTTATAACCCGGCTTGTGTCGAGGGAGGAAGCCCATATAGCACTAATGGAACTCATGAAATGGAGAACAGAGGGGCTTGATCAGGTATATGCGCGTGCTGTACAAATGAAGGAGAGGGACCCCAATACAGGGAAGATGAGAATTGCCAACCCACAGAGCAGTAGGCTTGTATGGGAAACACACCTCACCGAGTTTAAGTCACTAGGGAAAGTTGCAGTTAGGCTCATCTTCCTTCATGCAACGTCGTGTGGGTTCAAATGTAATTGGTCTCTATTGAGATGGGTGTCTGCCCATGGCCACTCAAGGGTGGGAATTGACAAGGCACAGAAGTTGATATTCATTGCAGCTCATTCCAAGCTCGAAAGGCGGGATTATTCCTGCGAAGAAGACAAGGATGCGGAGCTACTTGCCTTAGCAAACGGTGAGGATGATGTGTTGAATGAAGTTCTTGTTGATGCATCCTCAGTGTAACATTATTTTTTTCCCCAAGTAGAAATTGAAATTTGTAGGATTTATTGAATTCTTTCCACTATTTTTTTCGTGTTGTACCTGTTTACTTACGCTCTAGAAAGATTTTTAGGGCGGTAAGGTCAGGGGAATAGGGACACTGTAGGGATTGAATCTGTATTTCTAGGACTGCACAGCCATGATTTGAGCCACTGTCCAGTTTTACTCTAGCATGATTTTGAAGTTTTTCGGGTTTGCTGAAACGAAACTCTTCTTGTTTGTGAAGATGGAGGATGCTGCGCGAACAGGAGGAATGTTATAAATTTTTTGTACCTCGAGTATTTTGAGATAAATAATATGTTTATAAAGGGGAAGGTTTTATTATTTCTCCTTTGATTTATCAAATTTGCAGTGTCCTCCATTTGCTTTTAAAATAAAGTTAGAACTTTAAAATAAACAAATAAATTGCTTGTGTGTTGCTTCATTTCTGCGATTTCTCTTCTCTCTGAATAGGGTATAGTTCAATTGCTATAATCGCTTCTCCGTGTTGCCTTGTACACACACAAAGTGAATCGACTTTCTGTCCGGAAAAGTTGTACAATTTCTCTACAAATTCATCTGAGTCCAACTGTACAGTCCTTTTTCTGTGATCTGTAACTGAAGAATCTTGAGAAGGGTTTCACCAGAAAGCTTAGAACTCATCTTTTGCTTTGGCAGTCTAGCTCTTGCGGTCCTTATTCGCCTCTGTGCAGGTCTCACTCGACATCCTCGTACCAAGACGACAAAATGAGTGATTGATCTTGTTTCTTACAAGTATCTCTATTTATCAGAAATCTCTGCACCAGAAGTTACAAATTGCAGTCTTTTGATTTCTGGTGTTGAATTTTACTGTTTTTTGTTAGTTTCCTCAAGCACTTGAGTTCCATTGTTGCTTGAGTTTATAAACAGGGAAGTTGTCTGTTTGGAATTATCAAATCTGCCAAAAGGCAAAAGTTTTGTCATGTGTTTTGACAACTTTTGTTTAGATGTGATATCACTAACTGCACTTATTTCAAACTGCATAATTAGCTTTGCATAATTATATGCTAACTCTCTCTCTCTCTCTCTCTCTCTCTCGCAGAAGCATTCGACAAAGATATTGTTGGACTGGAGAGGCCACCCTAAGGCGGTTGGTGGTTAGCATAACCATTTGGACCATAGCAAAAGAGGAGTTTGCCTAAAAGGATCCAAGAAATGATTTTTCACCTGAAATTTTCGGCAATGACGTGTCGTTCGCATAGAGGGGGAAGCCCAGGAAGCTTTTGCAAAATTGCAGTGATTGGTTTTTTGGTGAATGGCAAGCCAGAGTTTCAAAATGTGTGGAGTGGGGGTCAACACCCCACAGATAGAAAGCCTTGCAAAGACCAACCTGAAGCATAAAAAGCTTTACAGCTGGAGAAGCACTTCTAACTGTATAGATAATCACTTTTCCTTTTGGTTCTGGTTTTTGTGTCTGAAACAGTGGAGCCCCCACATCACAAAGAGGAGTGAGAAGTGGAAGTCGTTTTCCAAGCCATGGAGATTGGATCAGGGAGGTTTTTTTGTCATTAAATCAAATCACAGAGAGAGAGAGAGAGAGAGAGAGAGAGAGAGAGAGAGAGCTTTGTGTTTTTTAAGGGTAACTTATCTTTTAAACATTCCAAAGCTTGTTGAATGAGAGTTGATCACGCAGAATAGTTGTGGGGTGGATGCTGCCCATGGTTGCAAGAAAGGTGTTGAAAAAGAAGCGAATGCAAAAGAAGACTGTCGGCATGAAGCAACACACAAGATGCTTGAGAACGATGCCACAACCAAGTTAACCAAGTTTACCACATTTTTGTGGTCCTTGTTTTAAGTCTTCTAGGAGTTGAAAACTACATTTTTAACATGTTTTCCACTGAATCCGGATCTGCTGGATCCTCTTTGTAATGATCCGGAGATCTGTGAATCATATCCGTTCATCGTACATCGTGAGGTTAGAAATTATTTAAAAATAAATATAAACAGTACCTCATAAAAATTAACAACATGATATACGATAAACGGATACGATTTATAATTCTTTAGAATCTCACCAAAGGAATCCGGAGAGCATCCTGTTGGTTTTCCACAATCACCCTCAAAAAATAAACCCTGCCTTACGTAAAGTTGTCTTGGAATTGGTGTATTTATTGGCGTGGTCTACGTGCTTTACAACCGCATGGTTTAAAAATAATTATTTATTGCTTATGATTTAACGAGGAAAGAAAAATGGCTAATTATATTTTACGTCCACGAGGTTCTAGTTTTTTCATGTTGTGCCATGAAGGATTGGAATTCTATTACTTTATGTTTTTTGGATGTTTGATTGTCGGTTATTTGTTAAATTAATGACAAACTAGCCTCATGAGATTACCATCACATAGTTTGGTACAAATCCCAAACTCTTTTTTTTATCAAAAAACTTCTTTCTTGTTCCGCCTTTACGGGGCCGTTTTCATTATTTGTTCTTTGTAAAAAATCTTGAATTATGCTTTCTTAACTTCCGAATTGAAATTCGTAAAATAGTCGATGGATGCGGCGTGGTTACCATAGCTCATGCATTTATTTGAATATCTGGAACATATAGGGACCAAGGTGGTTTCGAGACCCACTGGATGCTAGAAAAAATGTTGATGAAGGTCCTTTGGAGACCCCTTTGAATGTATGGTATGAGACATTTTTGTTCCTACCAAGTGTTGGATGAAATGACTGTTGGACATATTTCAGCAGCATTCATCAAAATGGGTCAACATCCCTCGGTAGGATGCATCGACATCATCTAGCAGGGGTTCTCAACAAAACTTTGCAAAGGCACTCGAAAGAACTTGACATGGCCTCTCGACAACACTTAGCACGTGCATAATGTGGCTCAATAGATGATGGCAGTCACACAAAGTGCTCAATAAAATGCCCCATTAAAAAGCTAAAAAGATCTTGGGCGTTAAACGCATTGTTTTTGTCTCAAAAACTTGAATCTTTATATTGGGACCCTCGAGGTTAGAATCTTGGATTTGCCACTGCTAGTGTAAATGTGGTTCAGAGCATCCATAAAATGAGTCCCACATATGCCACATCAACAATTTAACGTGGAATCATACAATCAAATGGATAGAAGGCATAAATTTAAATGATTTCAAACCCTAGAGTGCATGAATGAATTTTGAAACTCCGTCAACCATTTTGAAAATCACCTAAAATGCAAAAAGTGTAAATTTAGTTAATAACTGTTTTTATGTGCCTATTACTAAAATAAGTTTGCAGACCTAAACGTAATTAAGTTGACTAGTATTTTGAGTCCACTCGATTTGTATATACATGTGTTTTTTTGTACAACATTAGTTTGCCCATTGTTCTAATTGTTTTTTTACATTTGTGTATGCTTTTCCTAAAAAACAGTTACAATTGGAATTGTGGGAGGATATTCTTAAACTAGACCCTAAGATTAAACCGTGGTGCTTAATGGGGGATTTCAATAATATAGTAGACATAACTGAGAAGAAAGGAGGTTTCCAAGCTACAACTTCAACAGAGGAAACCTTTTATCTATAAATGCTTCTGGCATCCCTTTTACTTGGTGCAACAACCAAGTTGATAACAAGATAATTTATGAGAGACTTGATAGGGCTATAGCTAATACATATTGGTTAAATGAGAACCCAAACTATAACCTGCATAATTACCCAATTTATGGGTATGACCATGGACCTATTCTCTTAACCTACAACTTGAAAAATTGTTATAAGAATAATTATCCCTTTAGATTTGAAGCTATGTGGCTTCTTCATCCTGATTTTAAGGATTTTGTTAAGAATGCCTGGCAATGCAATGGAGTGTTTGGTCCTATTGACACTTTTAGGGCATGTGCTGGGACTTTCAAATATATGGTTAAAGGTTGGAATAAAACAACTTTTGGTAATTTAAAGGAGCGTAAGAAAAAAAATCCTTGGGGACCTTGCTAAGGTACAAGAAACCATCATGAAAAACCAAAATGTTGATTCAGAGATTGATTTAGAAATAAAGCTTAGTGAGGAACTTAATTCAATTCTAAGACAAGAAGAAGTCATGTGGGCACAGAAAGTTAAAGTCAATTGGCTGCAATTAGGTGATAAGAAAACAAGATATTTCCAAATGGTGGCAACTGTTCGAAAAAAGAGAAATGAAATTATAATGATTAAGGATAGTTGTGGGTTTTGGTGGAATGAGGGTGAAGGTTTAGAACAGGTTTTTGTGCATGACTTTAAACTACAGTTTTCTTGTGATAGTCCCCCTGCTCTCGTGGATATTTCTTCTATTGCAGATATTATTGATCCTTGTATTGACAACCATCACAATGAACTTTTACTCAAGCCTGTTGAAGATATAGAAATATGGGATGCAGTTAAAAGAATTGGTGCACTGAAAGCACCAGGTCTGGATGGAATTGGTGCTAGTTTTTATCATGAATGCTGGGATAGAATTAAAGATTCGGTGAGTGCTATGGTTAAGGACTTCTTTGAAAAGAGTACTAGCTTGAGACTTATTAATCATACCAACATTGCCCTCATCCCAAAAGTGGAAAATCCTGAGGTGGTAAGTAATTATAGACCAATTAGTCTATGCAATGTGAGTTATAAAATAATCACGAAAATCATCATTAAAAGGTTAAAGCCACTTCTAAACCATTGCATATTTGGAAACCAAGGGGCCTTTGCTCTGGGACATTCTATTCATGATAATATTTTGATTGCGCATGAAATGTTTTCTAGTTTTAAAGGTGAAAAGGAAGGACTGGAGCAATGGGAATAAAGTTGGATTTAGAAAAAGTGTATGATTATCTTAATTCGAAGTATAGCAGGTATGTGCTTCTTAGATTTGGTTTTACGGAAAGATGGGTGAGCTTAATTATGGAATGCATTACTTCAACTTCCTTCTCGATTTTGATTAATGGTTCTACTCATGGTTACTTTTACCCTAAGAAGGGAATTAGGCAAAGGGATCATTTATCACCTTATATTTTCATTCTTTGCATGGAAACATTGATTAGACACTTTAACAAAATGGTCACTACCCCTATATCATATGTTGGAATTATGTCCTCTCCTAGTGGATTTAGAATATCAAATCTAGTTTTTGCAGACGATTGTTTGTTATTTGCTAGGGCAAACACAAAAGGTGCTAGGAATGTACTTCATGCTCTTAATATGTTTGCCAAAGCTTCAGGTCAAAAGGTAAATTTCCACAAATACTCGCTTTATTTTTTTAGAAAATACTAATGCTTAAACTAGAAATGCTATTGTGAATGTTTTACATATTCAACATAAAACTACCATCGGCAAATATCTGGGCATTCTTAATATTGTGTTTTGGAAAGATCTTGTGAATGAATGTGAATTAATCAAAAGAGTTAAGCAAAAGCTTGCCGGGTGGAAGGCTAATACTCTCTCTAAGGCAGGAAGACTAACCCTCATTAAGTCTAACTTATCTGGTATACTAAACCATATCATGTCTTACTTTAAATGTCCTACTCGAGTAACTAGTAACTTAAACAATGAGTATATGGACTTCTTTTCGGGGAGAGATAGGAAGTTAAAACCTATGGCTTGGAAAAAAGTGTGTACTTCTAAGGATTAGGGGGGGTTAGGCATAAGAAGAGTGGATCATTTCAATAATGCATGTTTGGTTAAGTTAGGATGGAAAGTTTTAAAGGATGAAAACAATTGGTAGGTGCAAATTGTTAAAAGAAAGTACTTAAAGAAGGATGATTTTTTTAGTTGCAAAGTCAAGCAGAACCACTCCTTACCCTGGAAAAGGGATTTTGAATAGTAGACATGTTATTCACAGGGGAATTAGATGGGTTGTGGGTAATGGTGAGGATATCATTTTTTGGACCCATCATTGGGTTTTTCCTTATCCATTGTTCCAGCTAATTCCTGAAAATCAATGACAAAATATAAATTGGGACACTAAAGTAAGTGAGTTTATTCATAATAAAAGTTGGGATAGAGTTCGTCTCTCCCAAGTGTTGCACTTGGATGTTGTGAGGAAAATTTGTATGGTGCCCATTTCCCTTCAAAATAAAAGTGACAATTTCATATGGGAACACTCCTCTACTGGTGAGTTCTCAATCAAGTCAGCGACTTGGATTCAGAGTAATAATAATCAAGAAGTTAAAAGGCAGAAGCTCCTTATGAAGATATGGAAGTTAATGATACCTCCAAAGGTAAAAAATTTTGCATGACTTTTTACTCATGAAAAACTTCATACTAGGATGTGACTGGGTAAATTTATTCAAAATATTGACAAATTATGCCCTATGTGTGGCAATGAGGATGAGACTCAAAATCACATTTTTCTTAATTGCAAGCATGCTAAAGAAATGTGGAACCTCTCTCCAGTAAGTCCTTGGAAGAATAATTTGACTTAGTTTAATAATATGTTAGATTGAATGGAAATAATTGACAATGTTGAATGCAATGATTTGAGTGATCTTAGTAAAGGTATTTTGAATTGTTGGCAAATGTGGAATGATAGAAATAATAAAGTTTTTGGAAGTATGTTTCCTAATCCGGCTAGGAGTATCTCCATTGCCGCAAGTGTAGGCTTATCTTTTTTTAAGGTTAATTGTAAGAAGATCTCTAGGGGTGATCCTTGCCACCAACATCCCATTTGTTGGCGTCCTCCTCCCCATGGCTATGTGAAATTAAACTTTGATTGGTCGGTTAGTTTAGATCGTTCTGCAGCTGCTTTTGTTCTTAGAAATGAGGAGGGGCAACCTGTTGGTGCTGGTGCATTGAACCTTGATGGTGCCACCATTTTGGTTGTGAAGGCCGTTGCTTTAAAGGAAGAGCTTTTTTTTCACTAGGTGCAAAAGTGTGAAGAAGCTAATGATGGAAAGGGATTCTAAGCTTGTCATTTAGGTGGTGCAAGATGTTTGCATGCCCCCTTGACATCTTAAACCTATCATAG